TCCCCTTCCCAGTCCTAAAGGAACTTTTAAGTAGAAGAGACATACAAGGAAACTCTTCTCTGCTTACCTGCATAAAAGGGGTTTTCTTTCCACAGTGTTCACAGAAACACATATTGTGACCAGTCAGCTCTTCTGGACAGAAGAAGCATTGCAGACACTCCTCCTAACAAGACAAAAAAAAAAAAAAAAAAAAAGCTCTTTCAAATGAATTTCTTCAAGTTGGATTTCTATGTCTACTTGGTTTCACAGGGTATATGGTAAGAACAAAGCTACAGAAGGTGTACTTTATTCAAAAGACAAAAGAATACAAATTAGTTTTCTCACTTTTATCATGAATTAAAGAAAGTACTGCAAGTAAAAACGTTACTTGCTTTTAATGTTAAAAAGCAGATGGTTACCACCTTGCATTTTTTCTGATTCCCAGAATGTTAATTAGGCTCTTTCCTGGACAGCTACACAACCAAGTACAAAATGTGAAGTGTTCAGTGATCCATACAAGCGGTGCTGCAAAAGCTGTGGCATTAACCAATTTAATATTTTAACCAAATAAAATGGAAGGAGGGTTTGGTAAAGTCAGACCAGACAATATTTCAGTTTTCCATTTTTCTTTAATTCAAGCTCTAACAACATACTTTTGTTTGTTTTCCAGCAAACAGGAGAGTGACAGAAGCAGCATAGTGCTTATTCTTATGAGTACAAAGACAAAATTCAGGAAGGAAGATTGTAGTAGAAGACTCTAGGTCAAGCAGATGTAGGAAGTACAACCAAATGCAGAAAATTGAACTGGACATTCTGACCTACCTGTCTTTAAATGTTTAATGGCATTAAATGCCTTAATTTCTGAAGGTCCCACTTAAGACCGTTAAGCTTAACACCAACACACTATTTCTTTTAAATCATTTCTGCTGGTGTTTACATGTGTAAATGTATGGGAATGCAGGTGTGTCTACAGTCAGTTAAATAGGAAGTCACAGGAAACCCTTGGAACAGGGAGAATGCCTCCATGCCAAATAAAGGGCCATCTTCTTACGGGAACATTACTGCCACTGAACTTACCAATGTCCTCAGCAGATGACAACTGGAATCCAACATTGAGAGTGGAAGGGTTATCATGTTGCTGTTCCTTTTTGTTTCAAAAGAGCACTCTTGACATACCATGTACTCCTGTACCCGGATAGTGTACAGATCACTCAGTTTTTCAATCTGGAAGGTTGAAAAGTCCAAAACAAGGTCTGTGAAGAACACAGCAGAGGCATTTTCCTCTGTAGGTGGGGCAGCTTGTGTGGATACCTCATTTCATACAGTGTCACTTCAGGGCTTGAGCCTCAAATTTGACATTGACATGTATGGGCAGGTTATTTCCCATCATTCCCCTCACCAGAGGGGAAGAGGCAGACTATAACAAGGATAGTTAGATGTCTGTTTTAATGCAAGGTTCTCTTGTTGTGAATGGAATTAAAACCCAGGCATGTACAAAAAGGCCTTTTTGTATGAAAAAATCTATAACACTTGGATGTGGAAGACTCACTTTTTTTTATATTACACAGTTTCCCTGGAAGCAATTGTCACATATGTAACATATGAACAGTGACAAATAATATTTAAATGTCCATGAATGTCTTCAATGAATGAAAGAGTTGTGTGAAGACACACCAATTAGTGCTTACAGAAACTTGAAAAAAAATGCAAGGTAAGCAAATTCCACTTTGCAGAAAGATCAACTTTTGTATTAACAGACTCTCCCACTAGAAACGAGAATGTGGAATAAAGTAGGACAAAGAAAAGTTAACAGTGATTCAAACTGCTGATGCTTATGAAAGCAAGACTGCCCACATCTAAGAGATGAGAGGGAAGATTCAAATGAGGGGTTAAGAATTTCATGTAAGACAACTGTCAGAAAATGTGACTTTTCTCCTTGGAGAAACAGAGAAAACCATATGTAACCAGAACCAAAGAGTTGATTTCAAAGTTTCATTTCAGTCATCATCCTTACCAGCTCTGGGTTTGTCAGCTGTCCCTTTATCAAGTTCCAGAGAGTCAGAAGGAGCTGAACAGCATCGTACTGCACAAACACTAATAAATAAAAAGCATAACTCAGTATGATGAACAGCACCAAGCACAGATTTCCCATAGGCAGCAAATGGGGATTTATTCTCCATCATTAGACCCAGTTTTCTGTTCCCTTGCAACAAAGCCAAGACCCCAAATACTCCTTACCAGAGGCAAAAGTTGGAGGCACTGGAGATAAGTTGCAGTGGGGTGGGGCTTGTTTTTCCTCCTTCTCAAAGACCCAGAATCCCACTAACAACTGGGAGGTGGCTACAAAGAGCACTATGTCACTATGTACCCTCTCCTCACATTACTGAACCACTGAATGAGACCTCAGACTCTACACTGCTTGTTAGTGCTTGATAATACCCCCTGATCAGTGGACAGAGATGGGCGAGAAAGCAGGGCTGCTTACATTTCACCCGGTACTGTGAAAGACAGTAAGCAAGGGCCTTAGGACAAACAGCTTTCCGCTTGCCAGACTGCATCTTCTCCAGCAGCAAGAGCATTTGGTATGGGACACTACTACTTTTCTGTGAGGCACTTGGTGGCACTGTGATCCTATAAAGAGAAGAAACATCACAAATGACAACCAAGTGATACAATGGAGAAAAGCTAAACATCATATCTGAAGAAACAGAGGTAGCTGGCCCAAATATTCAAGAGGAACCAGAACAGGCAAGAAAAGAAGGAAAAGGCGGAAGCAGACACCTACACTAGCTCACAGTGCAGACTGACAGTTTTAAAGAGGCCACAATTTTAAGTTGTCCAATTCCTGGGTGAACTGAAGAGGACCTAAACTGTTAGAAAGAAATATATTTGCTATGGCCAGTTTCAGAGCTGCCTCCTTTCCTTGTCAACATGGTCTCAAAATTTTATGGATAGGTATATCATAATGCTTGTATTTCAGCCATATGGCAACTGGGAAGCCCTTTATCCTCGCTAGATTTCTTGCATTCAGCAAGTTTTTCTAATCTTTACGTCAAAAAACAATGGAAACCTACTGCTTTCATTATCTACCTTTATCCACTTACAACAATTATCTTCCCTGCATACCTATAATTCATTTTCTCCCCACTCAGCACACTTCTAAGTGTGCAAAAGATTTGGAGACAGAATAGGAATACAGAATGAACGATCCACTTAAATGACTGGAGCTACAGTGAACTAAGCAAACTGAAAACAAACCAAACCAGTTGCTAGTGTGGTTAGCAGGGAGGCAAAAGTCCAAATTCTGGTCACAATTAAGTAAAGAGAACAGTTAAGCAACAAATAAATAAATAATAGATAGATAGATAAATAAATAAATAAAAGACAGAGAATAACTGAGAGAGATACTGTACTCGCCATCTGCTAGAATATCTACTCATCTCTATCAAATGTTAACCAAGGCAATAGGACGGCAGACATTACAGATCATGAATACGCTTTCATTTACATGTTTAAAGTTACAAATGAACAGTGAATACAGTTACACAGAACACATCCTTTGGATGAATTAGGCTATGAGCACACCTGGAATAAAACTGTATCTTTCTCTGGGAAAAAAGAGAAATACAAGTCATAAAGACCCCGTTCAAGACTGCAGCATACTGTTGTGCAAATGTCTTATGAATCAGACATTACTAACAAGTTGTAGATCCATAAATGCTACAAATTTTAGGCCTTTGTCTTCATTCTACATGCAGAATGAGGCAAAGACCTAGCTGAATGATCTGAAATCACTTAACAATTCTTGATGATCCAACCCTTCTAACATACATCCCATATAAAGTGTAGACAGCAGAAAAGCAATTGAAATAGCTCAAGTAGTTCAAAGATTTCGTACCTTCGCAGTATCCCAGTGAAGTGTGTATTCATGAGGAACACTTGGAGTAGAGAGTTCAGACAGCAGGTCTGTCCAATATTGTACAGTCCAATAGCTTCTGTAGGCACAGGAAAAGAGGAAATGATGTTTAGAGAAATATATAAGGAAAAAAAAAAGGTGAAGAATATTAAAAGATTGTAAATTCCTCTTTCCTCTTTTTCAGCCGTTCAGTTCACAGACCCAGCATCTTGATCACACCTTAGAAAAGGATCGAACTATTCTTATGTTCCTCAGACAGATTATATTTTTCTGCCAATTGAAAGGAAAAAAATCTCATCATACTATGAGTCTAGGCTACTGTGTCCTCTCAGAATCTACCTAAACACAAAATAAGTACATCAAAGTCAAAGGTTGCCTGTATGATGGTTTTTATTCAGCCTTTTACACAGCCAAGCTTAATCACTAAATGAAAAGCTAGGTCATATTTTAGCTGCTGCTATACCAGCTTCAAGGTTTCCCTTCAGCTCACGTCTGGTACCTTTTGGTATCAATTTCAAAGAAAGGGAACTAGCCTGAGGGAAGTGGAAAAAGCAAATCATGGCAGTTTACACTGCACATAAAAGCAAAGCCTATTCTGTGTCCCAAAGGGGTAAACCATGGTCAGAAACGAGGAGTTTTTCTTCTGAAGTCATCACCAGAGTAAGGGAATGTGTGAAATGGAAACTCAGAGCAACAGGGAAACACAGTCAGTGGTAATGAAGGATATATCTGATATAGATCAGTATCTACACCTACAACACTGACAACAGCTTTTGGGAGTGATACAGCAGGCTAATCAGGAGGTGGTCCATGGTTCAGCAAATCCAGAACAATGTTTGGAAACATTGGCCAGTATAACTCCTTGTCAGCTGCAATGACCCATTTGAGGATTCAGAAGTGGAATCATCATGTAATCCCTTCCCTAAACAAAAGTGATCACTTGGCAGGACCAAATTAGAATCTTCTTTATATTTGCTGGTGAAGAGATAAAGAATAACACAAAATGAAGCCCAAGGATGAAGAATGGAACAAAAGGAGAAGAAGGCACTAGAGACAGAAAATATAAAGAGTGGTAGATAGAATATTATTACTATTTTTTAAGTCTGCCATGCCAAAGACCAGCTTCAGCCTCTCATCTCTGGTCTTTGTCTCTTTGGTTTCCCCATTATCACTTTGCATATCCTCTTCTGCCTGCATGACGTCACTTGTTGCCAGCTCTGGGTTCTTGCTTCTTTCTTGACGTCCACTTCCTTGGCCCATCAACACAATGATGCAAGGACTGCAGAAAGACACAGAGAGACCAGAAAGATGGAGAAAGCTCAAAAAATAAGTTTCATCTCTGTATTTGACATGTGCATGACGAAAAAAAGCTACAATGGCAATAAAATGATTACTGTGATGGCTTTTGGTACATCTGAGAAACTCTGGTAGGTATACGGGCTATTAGCAAGATAACAAGCCTGACAAGGAGCTTACATCCTGTCTTCCTTCTATGTCAAAATAAAGGACCATTCAGTTCCATACAAACAACTCCATCTCGCCAGGGAATTCTAGATATCCTTGTTCAAGAAGATTCTGGTTCAAGAATATCATCAAAGTTTTCCAGTATAGCAAATGTAGCAAGTATGTTTGGCAACAGCAATGCTTTATAGCCCAAAACTGCCTAAATATTCAAGAGCCTAAATTTCACCTTCTTATACCTTTTGAGCTGGTAAATGTTTGCTTTTTGTACTGCATTAAGCACCTTAATCATAGCTCTACTGTGGCACTTTGGACTCTAATCTTTAAAGAGGCTCAGCATCTATATGCAATTTCCTTTATATGCTCCGTTATATAATCAAGGCAAAGGGATTGTTTATTTTATTTAAGAAATATGGAAGCAAAAACATAGGACAAGTTTAGGAAACAAACAAATAAAAATGAAAGATTCATAAAAGTCCTTCAAAAGAGAAACAGAATGAGAAAAGATATCTGTACAGGAAAATTATCTTTAGGAAAACTTTCACAGGAAAAAAAAATGTTTTTAGAACACCGAACAGGATTTAAAAGAAATGTGAGGCCATGACAGATGAAAAAGAATCACAGAGAGCCACCAGGAAAAAAAAAAAAAAAGCCGTTAAGAAACAAAAGTCTTTGCCTTAAAAGCATAATTTTTTCCAGGTTAATTGTGCCCACTAGAAAATTAGAAAATAATGGCTTTTTCCAAACAATGTTTTTGACTTTAAATATATTTTTCTTCAATACTAATACTACTTTCAAATTCTAATTTGTTTGATACACTCATATTCACCGCAGGAAGCCAAAAGGAGGGGGATAAAAGCACAGAACAGGAATAGCTGAATAGCAGCTATGGATGTTTGGGGGATGAGGAAAACTCGAAAGTGAGAAGCTTTGGCAGTAAGGATAAAGTTAAGGTAAGATTAAGGGTGGGATGCGTGGGCAAGTGCAGGGCTAAGAGGCTTTGGGTGACTTGGGAAACTTGGGTAGAAAGAGATTAGGTCAGGGAAGTTCAGGGGGATGCAGAGATGAGAGAATTTAAGGTCTCTGGCTGGATGAAACTCTCCTCTATGCGCACAGGCATTGGGCTAACAGGAATCCTGTGTTAGGAACATGCGTAGAACTACCTAACCCTTGCGTAGAGCTGCCCTACTTTGGCAGGAGAAAAAAAAAAGTATTCCTTTACATAAATGCATAAACATACTAATAAACAGTTGAGTAAGCCTAGGAATAGAGGAGCAGGCCCCTTGTTAACCCTATCTTTTCCTGTCATAGGAGCACTGAAAGCAGGGTCCCTCCTTAGTTTCTTTTGCAGATCAGCAGTATGATTCAGAGCTGATCCCTCAACAGACTTGCGGTGGCTCAGACAAGCTGCACACTAACCCCAAGAAGAGAAAAGGTAGTGGCAATTCCCCCATCCGTCACATCCCCCATCTTGCAAGGAAGCAAGGCTTCTCACGCACCCTCCTCCTCCCTCCTGGCCCAGTGTGCTCCCCTCTATGAGCACCCTGCTCCACAGCCCTCCTGTCATCCCAGGACACCAGCTTCTTGTGACAAATCCCCTCGGTCCCTTCATATCCCTATACCACTGCCACCCTCAGCCCTATTATCGCCCCAGCTACGCAAGAGCGCAGGTGCTTGGCAGTCCATGATGGCCCCGGTCGCCCCAGTATTGCTTCAGCCCCTTGTCTGCCGTTCTTTTCCACTCCCGTGACTCCTTTTTCCCCCATGCAGTGACCTTAAGGACCAGGCTCCAGAGGCGACTGCACTGGGATGGGAGATGGGCAGAAGAGAGTGACCCAGAAACCAGGAGGAGGAGAAACGGCAGCCTGAAGGCTCTCTCTAAATGGCTGCGCTGCGGTCTGAGCCGGCAGGTTGCGCACCAACTCTTCACCTCCATGCTTCCCTCCCTAAAATGAATTTTTTGATTTTTTCTACTGAAGTGTGTGTTTGTTCGGCCTAAATTTTTTCTTTTCTTATTGTTTTTGTTTTTTTGTCCAATAATTCTGTCTAAATGGCCAGAGGACTGTTCCAACCACTAAAAGCACAAAGCACTTCCACTCCCTGGGTTGTGGCGTCCAGCGATCTTTGTCCCCTTCCATCTGCTCGAAAACGAGAGCCATTTCCAACAGCTAAAAGAAACTTAAAACCACCCAAGCGATGCGACCCAGCACTTGCGAGGACACTGCGCACGCAGCAAGCCAAATGGCGCGATGTAGCCCCCGGTTACCTCACAGTCTGCCGGCGAGGCTT